TTCCTTGCCATTTTAAAGTGAACAGAGACAAACTTGCGTTGACTAATCGTCGATGGATGTGTAAAAAAGGCAAAAGATTGACGATCACCGCTAACTTTTAGGAGCGACCTTTAGGCAGCGGGAAAAAAAACCGGCCCGTGGGCCGTATCGTCACGTGCCTATGATTAGCCAATCAAATTCGAAGATTTAGGATTCCGGCCCGCTCAGATGCTTGAGAAAAAACTAAAAAAATATATTATGTAAGTGTCACGGAATATTTAAGTACCTTTCACACAGGCGCAAGCCTTTAAAGTTAATTACTTTATTTAGGTGTCATCAATTGTCATCAAATAACGCTTAAACCTTTCAAAAGTGTGCATTCGTTGAATGTTGCATACCTGGTATCATTTTTACCTCTGTTCGCGAATTTATGATACTCAATTCTTTTTTCCCTCTTCTGAACATAAGTTACATGCACGCCATTGCACGCGGACCGTCCGGCAAAAATTCATTACAATCGAATCGTAGCATTCCGAGTTCTGGATTTATATAAAGCCTTTTTCCGAGGCATACTGAAGTACTTTGTCCCATCACTGTGGCAGCTGACTAAAGTTTAATTAATTTAACGGCAAAGAAAAAAAGAAGAGTATTTTCCTAGTTTCACTTTCAGGTTTACTGACATGGAAACTATGTAATATTATGCCGTGTTCAAAACAAGTGGAAAGAGGCTCAAGAATTTACAAATGGAATTAAGACTCGTTTCAAAACAAAAATATTGTTTAAGACAGATAATATGTGGCTAGTTTATAATGCAATTAACTATAAAAATGGTTGTCAATGGGGGCAAAAAAAGAATGGCTGTGAGAGGACTTTGGAATAACTGACACCGAGGCAGTTCGCATGGAAATATTGGGCGCACCCGTCGCAACCCACCCAGTCTTCTCCGTCATCATCTAGGCAAATCTTGCATAAATTCGCATTCCTCCTGCACGTAAGATTACAGCAGGTTTTATTATGACATCAATGCCATGGACAGGAAGTCGTTTTCAGCATATTGCTCATATCAAGCATAAAGCCGACCATACCTCATCATATCGATCACTATAATATGAACCAAGAAGTGTGCATGCCATTCTTTCCCTCTCCAGCCTCATAGAGAACTTCCTATTGTAGTCAAGTCCTTCTGCTAGCCATCTCGCAAACTACAGCATAATAGGTAAAAGACAGCAATGCCAATGAGAGTTATTTAGTCAACAGAACACAAGTTAAATTTTGTTGTTTGCGAGGTCTTCCTGTAATATACTGAGAAAATTACCAAGCAAATTATGACTCCGCAGTTGTAACCATCCTCCTGGTGATAGTGAAGAGGTTCAGCACAAGGCCATTCTGTGCATTTCCATCCGGTCTTTACATCGATCAGTTGACTGCAAGAGCGGATAAAGGATTAGGAATGCATAGAATAAGTCCCCGACACTTAACTAAATCAGAAATTGTCACATAGTAACTGCTTTGAAAGTAGAGCTTCTATGTCAGATATGGGCACCTTATATTTTCAATCAAGGAGCGTAGCCTGTCGTTGCCATTCATCTTCCTCTCCTTTGAAAGCAGGGGATCAAAGTACAACCGCCTGCAAATGGAAGACGAAATTGATAAAATATATATGTAAGTAAATAAATAAATAATTAAATAAATAAATAAATGATTAATTAAGTATTTAATGAAGCATACCGTGGACATGAGCCATCCGGGAGTATGATCAGGTACGCTTTCTTGCACTTTCTTCTCTTCTCTTAGAGTCTGCTCACTTGGTGGTATGGAAGTCCAAAAGTCTCCCACTGTAATTTTGGTTGGCCCATAAACTCGCATCACATCTGTCACCGCCAATCTACAGTTAATGGCCTGCCTTATCCTATCGAATAAGGCAACATCTTTGGGGTGATCTTCTTTGTGGAGATGATTGCTAGACGAATAAATAAGATAAAACGTAACATAAATACACCGACACGAGAAGACACGCATAACTTAGAATGCAGAAGTATTTATGACCGTTCCTTGTAAAAGAGGCTACTTACTTGGTAACTTGACCAGGACCCAGCGTATCAACATTTTCATTGACATCAATCACATGTTCGCGATCATCTGGGCGTTCTTTCGCAATTTTGTGGTCCGTTGTAGTAGACTAATGGAAACAAATTAGCAGAGTCAGGTTAGCACTATTTATATTACTTTTTGCGGCTTTACGGGATCATGTCCGCTCAATTTACTTTATTGCACGGTTCGATTGCATTGACTAGATACTTACCGTGGAGACATGAACCGCTGCTAATTTGTGACGCTTCACTGGTGGCTCAAAGTCATCATCTTCAGTAAAGTCAAAACTAACTGCACTCTGGGGAGCTTTGCTTGACTTTAATCCTGTTGCCCGTTTCAATCGTCTGCGAAGAGGTAACTTGGAATGAAAAACTTTGTGGTATTCCACGTTTTTTAGTTTCAGCTTTCGCTTTCGTGGGCTTTGACGAATTGGGAGCCCTTCTTGTTTTATGCAAGCAGTATCCATGGTTGTGACCACATTCTTCAAAGAATCAAGGGCTGTTTGAAGGACACTAACATCTTCAACGAGATAAGTCAGATCGGATATGCATTTGGCTTTCTCCTTGAGTGCCCCTTTCAGCATAATCTCTTTTTCATCCTCCTTTTCCCTCGCAACATCCATTTTGGGGTCTTCTTCACCATGTTCGACATGTACCTCTTCATCATGTAGTTCTTCATCTTCGTCGACTGTGATTGGATCTTGGCGGCCTCCCTCTACCTTATCAACATTGTCATTGTTAGATACAGCTTCATCGAGCTTTGATGCTACTTCCAGTTCCAGATGGCCAGTGTCCAGTGTAATGAAAACACTGTTACGGTAATGTGACGGAAGACTCTCAAAGTCCCATTCATCAGCGAAAAAATTGAAGACGCCAAAGAAGTGCTTGCATGGAGAGTGAAATTTTTCCCACTGCTCACACGTGCAGTTAGGCTCACTTAATTTGACCTCGTGAAAGCGGTTGTGCTGCAATGAGCTACGTACAGAGAAAACACCCTTTACCATGTCGACACATTCAACATCGCATTCCCTCAAGTCACCAGAGCTGAACTTTGCTTTAAGACAATGCTTGATGAAATGTGGCGGCCGATTATGCAGGTATGATGGCATTGTCGAGTTGAATCTCCTGTATGCGCTGCTCAGCTGCAGATTACGCTGTAGGTACCTTTGATGACAGTCAGGGACGTACCTCTCAACTAACATCACAGAGATTCCATATACGGACTTATCCAACGAGAGCGGTAGGTACTCATACTTGAAAGTCTTATTCTGGGCCTCCGTTCCATTGTTAGTATCGACGACGTTGAGTATTTGCCGCTTTCTCGTGCATTTTGCCCAACGGAAAGAACACGAAAGCCACACGTTGTCGACGTACGTTTGCACGTTTGATTTTTCTTTATACAAAGGCAGGTTCTTCAGGGAAGCTACTGCAGAATCGTAGTATTTGCGAGTGGTCGCGTTCGTAACACGCTTCAAGTGAGCCAGTAGCTCCTCCTGCTCCAGGGAATTGAAACCGTTTTTACTCTTCCTCACCCATCGCTGCCATGCCTGCAACCTGTGAAAATCACAAATGTAGGCAGTTGCTCCAGGAAACTGCTCTTCAATGGCGCCTATTTCGACGGTGGAGAAGTCAACCATGAAGTATATGGGCTGCCAAAGGGGATTCCATGTTTTTAAAATAGACAACGCCTCGCTGATCGACTGCTGATCTTCATACTGCGTCATGAATTCGGCAACCACCTTGTAATCGACATTTGTCCTTACGCATACGAAGAACAAGGGAATAGCATACTTTGTCGTTTTGTACGTGGCATCCATGAAAACCAGCTCTGAACCATATCTTTGTGACAGACGCTGTTGCTACTCTTCCTGGTGAATAAACAGAAAGTTTTGCTGCGGCTGGTCTTCCTCTGCCTTCTTGTCCTGGGCCTCTTCGGTTTGCTTGGCATGATGGGGCCTGAAGAAGAACCTGCTTGATGGTGATTTTTCTTGCCACTCCTCAATTTTTCTCCCCAAAGACTCTTGGTCATCTTTGCAGTACTTTTGGGCAGCTATGGCTCGCGAAACGTGGTTCCGAAGATCTCTTTGGTAGGATGATATCTCCGATTACTTAAGCGTGGCCGCTTATCCACAGGAACCCCACGAAAAAGCTCTTTTTCGACGGAATCTGCGATGCTGCGCTTTACTTCGCCGATGTTGGTCACGCCCTTGCTTACTAGCTCGAAGATTTTTTCGATAATTCGCTTATCTATATTTTGATTTACACCAACGGTCTCACCAATGGGATGCCCTTTGTGGAGAGAAGAAAGAGGTATACGAATGTAATGACGTACAGTTGTTTTCCCTTGTACTCCATCCTGTAAATCTATCTTCAGCAGTTCTTTGCCACTTTTTTCTTTGCCGATCGCAAGCTGTTCTCAGTGTCACAACTCGTCGCATCTACTCCATAGTCTTCGAATACCATTACGTCACGGACTTGAATCTGAGCAGGGCATTCTAGTTTTCTGCTTCCCTGTATCTTTAATCGTTTCTTCATGTTGTAATCATGTTCCCCTGGTTCCTCGGGTTTCCAACCACCCCGCGCATCCTATCGAAGAAAAAGACAGAGCCGACTTCTTACTTTGAAATAAGCAAAGAACTCAAGATTCTGATTATGTGAGCACATTATGAATAATCACACTCGTCACTTACTTTAAGGGGTCCATG